TACCACTTTTACTTTTCTCATGTTTCTCCCTTGCCTAACATTCTTCCCCATCTCTTTTTTGCCAATTCAAATCTTATACTTTCTTTAAGGACCAACTTGAGGCTCACTTCTTCCAAGAAACCTCAAATTAACCCCACCTTGAAGTGGTCGTATTTTGAATCCCAACAGTATTTATCTACATTTTCTACCATAGTATGGGGACTTGTATAATTTGGAATTATTTTCAGATGAATGTTTGTACTCCCTGCCTAGCTAGACTGCATGTTGCTTACCCACAATCATCTTTTATTTCCTCTGAATTACCCAATAGCACTTATATAGGGCCATATTCTAGGAAATATTGAACAAATAACTGCTACATTGAGTTAAAGCTGGTTTTCCTACTCTTCTCACTTTGACACTAAATTGAAAGATCCCTATGGGTATCACATGGGTACTTATTACCTCCACCTACACAGATTGCACCCCTTCCCTGTTGAATTTCTTGCCCGATAAACTTATCCCCTGGTGGCCAACCTTGTAATGATGATCTTCTCTTCACTCTTAGATAGGTTGGTTCTTGGAGGAGACCCACTACATAGTTCCTCAAAGCCTTTCCAGCTTGCCAAGACCCAGGCTTATATCCCACTGATATAACCTTTGAAAAGTCAGAGTCACTTTTATATTAGGATGAAGTATCAAAGCTAGACTTTCATATACTTCCCCTTCAAATCTTCCCAGCTCAGTAAATACTTCAAAATGTTACAGATTAAATCTCACCAAATTCCTTATAACATCATATACCAAGATATTTACCCACAAAGACAAATGAATTAGGAAAATGTAATCACCCATCCCAGAGGGGCCCTCACCTCCATGAAGATTTTTTTGAGTTGCCCTCCACTCAAAGAAGCATGAGTTTACATCTTTGACTCAGATAGGGCTACAAAGCAAGAAGCTGGACACCTGGTGGTTCACTAGAGAATGAGAATTGGAACGATTAAGTAGCTAAAGGGCCAAAGAGGAGTAAGGATGGGAGGGGGTGGGGATCTTGCAAGTTCCGTGGCAGTTAGTCAGTTAATGTGACCATAGCTTGCTCCACAGAAGGAGGTACTAGTTGAAGTGCATTTTTCTCCATACTACCCATTTTTACCTAAGGTGGGACATGGTATTATTGTTAACAGATTCCATACCCCTGAACCTCTATTGTTCTATGGTAAAAGAAACTGGTTGAGAAGCCTGGCTGACCCATCATTTTCCCAAAATCATAACATAAAAGGCATTAGAGAGACCAGCTAAATGGTGTTAACTGTTGGCTGTATTTCAACATAGCACCCCATTTTTCTCCTTCATGGATTCTTTAGTCTAGAGAAGACACCAGAGGCAGAAACAGTACATCTCAGGGATGGAGGAAATCAGGATAGAGAAAGTCTGAATTCACCTAACACAGTGACTTTATTCAGCAAATTAGGGAATGGGAGCCTGTGCTACTGAGGGATTTGATGCTTAAGTAAACTAACTTATCAAGTACGTCTGCTAAATAGCTACCAAAACTTAAACTCTTGGTAGTTTTGGTAAATATTAGTGTCTACACATTACTCTTTTTGGCAGAGGAGAAAAGGGATGTCTCTACTTGTGATTTCATTACTGTAGGGAATTCCCTGCATTGAAACTCCACCCGTGTAGATCAGCAGTTACTCTGACACTTTTAAAAGTCATCGAGCATTGCCTGGAGCCTGAGAGGGGAAATGAATTATCTAGTCCCACACCTGTTTCAGGCGGGTCTTGACCAAGTCTTCTGACTCTCAGGCCAGTATACTATTCCACACTGTCAGTCTTGAATCTCGATTTTACAAATATATGTTTGCTCTGTTTCTCCCATAAAGTGTAAGTTTCTTGAAGGTAGGCTTTATGTTTTTCATCCAAGAATATTTCCTAATGTAATAATCTTTAAACAGTGTGTCTTGGGGTTGGTTTATTGTTTTAGGAAGCATGTGTCTTATGTATGTTTCTGTTGACTTCTTATCTGTTGTTTTCAATGATAACTAATCATTTTGTGTCAGCTTTTGAAAGTGTAAATAAAGGCCACATAAAAATCTTTTTTTCTTGAAACATGTGATTTCATTGTTTAACATGGTTGCACATGTATAACCTATATCAGAATGTTTGCCATCTTGGAGAGGAAAGAGAGGAAGGAGAGAGGGAGAAAAATTTGGGACTAAAAATCTTTTTCGGGGGGCAGCTAGGTGGCACAGTGGATTGAGCTCCAGCCTTGGAGTCAGGAGGACCTGAGTTCAAATCTGGCCTCAGACACTTGACACTTACTAGCTGTGTGACCCTTGGCAAGTCACTTAACCCCATTGCCTAACCATAAAAAAAAAGATAAAAATTATTTTTTTATTTTTAATTTATTAGTTTATTTTTAGTTTTCAACATTCACTTCTATAACATTTTGAGTTTTAAATTTTCTCCCCTTCCCTCCCTTCTCCCCAAGATGGCATGCAATCTGATAGAGGCTCTACATATACATTCATATTAAACATATTTTCACGTTAGTCATGTTGTAAAGAAGTATTAAAACCAATGGGAGGAACCACAAGAAAGAAGAAAAAGAGAGATCAAATAGTATGCTTCGATCTGCTTTCAGACTCCAAAGTTCTTTCTCTGGATGTGTATAGCATTTTCCATCACAAGTGTCTTGGAGTTGTCTTAGATCTTTGCATTGCTGAGAAGAGCCAAGTCTATGAAAGTTAGTCATCACAAGGGGCAGCTAGATGGCGAAGCGGATAAAGCACTGGCTCTGGACTTAGGAGGACCTGAGTTCGAGTCTGGCCTCAGACACATGATACTTACTACCTGTGTGACCCTTGGCAAGTCAATTAACCCTGACTGCCTCACCAAAAAAAAGTTAATCATCGTACAACGTGGCTGTGACTGTGTATAATGTTCTTCTGGTTCTGCTCACTTCACTCAGCATCAGTTCATACAAGTCTTTCCAGGTTTTTCTGAAGTCCACCTGCTCATCATTTCTTATAACACAATAGTATTCCATTACGTTCATATACCACAACTTGTTCAGCCATTCCCCAACTGATGGGCATCCCCTCAAATTCCAATTCTTTGCCACCACAAAATGAGCTGCTATAAATATTTTTGTACACGTGGGTCCTTTTCCCATTTTTATGATCTTTTTGGGACACAGATCTAGAAGTGGTATTGCTGTGTCAAAGGGTATGCACAGTTTTATAGCCTTTTGAGCATCATTTCAAATTGCTCTCCAGAATGGTTGGATTAGTTCACAACTCCAACAATACATTAGTGTTCCAATTTTCCCAAATCTTCCTCAATATTTATCATTTTCCTGTTTTGTCATGTTAGTCAATCTGATAGGTGTGATTGTGCTACCTCAGAGTTGTTTTGATTTACATTTCTCTAATCAATGGTGATTTAGAGCACTTTTTCATATGACTATAGATAGCTTTTTTGGGGGGGTGGAAAGCAATTGAGATTAAGTGACTTGCCCAGGGTCATATAGCTAGTAAGTATCTGAGGCCAGATTTGAACTCAGGTTCTCCTGACTCCAGGGCCAGCTCTCTATCCACTGTGCAACCTAGCCGCACCCCCTATCCCCTTTTATTTATTTATTTTTACTATAGATAGCTTTAATTTCTTCACTTGAAAACTGCCTGTTCATATCCTTTGACCATTTATCAATTGGGGAATGACTTGTATTCTTATAAATTTGACTCAGTTCTCTATATATTCTAGAAATGAGGCCTTTATCAGAGACACTGACTGTAAAAATTATTTCCCAGCTTTCTGCTTCTCTTCTAATCTTGGTTACATTGGCTTTGTTTGTGCAAAAACATTTCAATTTAATGTCATCAAAATCATCCATTTTGCATTTCATAATGTAGAACTCAAAATCTTATAAAAATCAATGTCTTTACCTGTAATTGAAAAAAATAAAAATACTTTTTTTAAAAAAGAAATACATGATTTCATCAGTACAGGGAACTCCCAGTGAGTTTAGCTCCCAGGCAGTTCAAATCAGCAATTATTTTAAAACATAATCTTAGGATTGCTTGAGGCAGTAGGTGAAGTGGTCTGTTCAGGTTCAACCTGAAGGTTCAGCCCAGAGCACCATCGCTATAGCTCTAGTTGACAGTACCTACAGCTTCTGTCCCACAGGGTTGTGGTGAGAATCAAATGAGATAAGGCCCTTTGTAAAGTATAAACCTGAAGGCACTACACAATACCAAGACATCAATCCAATGATTTGATCCAAAAAAAAAAAAAATCTCTTGTACTAAAGGCAAAAGCTCCTAACCATTTCCTAAAGACATCTTCCTGTTCCGGTGTATTCTTTCACCACGTGGATTTGGCTCTTCCATTTTGACAGTGAGTCCAAAGAACAGAGCTGTCATCAAATTCACATTCTAGGAAATATCCAACTTCTGACCAGTAAATGTCTGAAGTCCATAAATGCACTGAGAGACTCGCTGAAATGAGAACTACCAGAAACAGAGGCTTGGACCTCCGGCTCAGGAGAAAACACTGCAAGTCCATTCTCCAGTAAGGAGCAGTTAGGGACATCAGTGGCTTACCTTGCCCTTGAGTGTTTGGTTTGCATGTAGGATTGGTTGTAGAGAAGTGCATCCTCTGTGGTCACTACAACCTCTCTTATCTCAAACTACAGTTGTTGTTCAGTCATTTTTTCAGTCTTCAAGACCCTATTCGGGGTTTTCTTAGGAAAGACATTAGAGTAGTTGGTTAACTATTTCCTTCTCCAACTCATTTTACAGATGAGGAAACTGAGGCAAACTGAGTTAAGTGACTTGCCCAGGGTCACATAGCTAATAAGTGTCTGAGGCCAGATTTGAACTCAGGAAGATGAGTCTTCTAACTCCAGGTCTGGTGTTCTATCCACTGGGCCACCAAGCTGCCCCAAACTACAGTACTGTATCATCATCCCATAGTAAAGCAGCCCATCAGTTTAACTTAAATGAGAAACTTACACACCCAGTTTCACAATTGTTTTATTCATCGAAACATGCAAATTTTAGGTAACAGCAAAATTTAGGTAAGCAGATTTTAGGGGTTTCCTTTTTAGATGCTATTAACAGTTAATACAAAAATTGCTGCCACTATGCTTTTTCTTACTGACTTTTTGACAGAGGCAAGGTTCAGGACACCTCCAGGGATGGGCACATACTGAATGTTTTGGCCATTTCAGAACTCTGGTCCTTAGTAAATGCTTGTAGGGTTACTGATTGAGCTGGGATCTGGCAGTTACACTAGGAGTGAAGGTCATACTCTATTATCTGTTAAAAAGCCCCCAGTGATACTGATAACATTATATTCAAATTATCCTATAAAATTCTAAACACAGAAGCAGTCAAGAGTTCGAGATTCTGAGTATCAAGGAGTTTATCAGCCAGTTTCAGATGCTTATAGAATATAATGTAGTTAATTAATCATTCTGCATGAAGTAACTGAATAATCTAGGACTGACAAAGGGAACAAATACTGAATCTCCCAAGATTCATTTCCCCCTTCTCTCAAAGGTGTATATTCCTTACAATGTCTAAATGCCTACATGATACAATGCATAGAAGATAAGCAAAGTGAAACTTTAAAGAAGACTGTTAGCATTTCCATACCTACTCAAATTAAATTTAGCTAAATTAAAGCCAAATCCTATTTAAGCATAATTTCAGGAAAAGAGAGGCATATTTAAAATCCTTCCATTTCAGGCCAGATTTCTTGAAGCCTAAGGAAGAAGAAAAAAAATCAATTATTCCATTAAATAAGCACTTATAAAGCACCTACTATATGCTGGGCACTTTGCTAAGTACTAGGGATATAACTACAAAGCACAACTGCCTCCTTGTAAGGAGTTTATTTATACTCTAATGCAAGAGGATAAGCATATCTACATACAAATATATACGCACACCCAAATATATTTCTATTTATTCACTATATTTGTGCTACATATAGGTACATATGTGTACATAATAATAGTACTTCCTTTTTTTTCTTTACCCATTATGATTTATTCTCTATAATACTTCATTAGAGGATGGAGTTCAATGACTTATTCTCAGAAGCTAGGACACAACCAAGTATAATCAAAGAATTGGTTTGACATCTCCGCAATCAAGATCATATGAAGTCTTTTGCTTTAGAGAAATGAACAAAAAAAATTTAATCAAAAAGTTCTAGGAAATCACAGAAAGACAATTGTCCATGAAAATTATTGATGTTGATGTGTCATGAAAAATAACTGATCCTATGTAAAAGTTAAATAAGCAAGATTTTTACACAATTTTTCTTATCAACAATAAAATATTCATGACATTTTTCAAATTGAAAGGGCCTCTACTAACAATGTACATATATGTGCATATATGTATATGTAGCACAAACATAAAGTGAATAAATACAAAAAAATAAAAAGTAATTAAATACAAGGTAGGCTAGAAGAGACAATGCTAACAGATGAGGGATCAGGAAAGGCTTCGTGGAGAACAAGAGTTCTTAACCTTTTTTGTGTCATGGACCCCTTTGACAGTTTAATGAAGTCTACTGACTCCTTCTCAGAATAAGGTTTTGTTTTGTTTTTTTAATTTTTATTTTTAGGCAGTGGGGTTAAGTGACTTGCCAGGGTCACACAGCTAGTAAGTGTCAAGTGTTTGGTCTGAGGCCGGATTTGAACTCGGGTCCTCCTGACTCCAGGGCCAGTGCTCTATCCACTGTACCACCTAGCTGCCCCAGAGTAAGGTTTTTAAATGCATAAAATAAAATACATAAGATTTCAAAGGAAACTAAAATAGGATGTATGTATCTTTTTTTCCTACCCAAGTTCGAAGACCCTTGTGAAAACTATTCCCCTTTGGGGAAGACAGTGGTTGAGATGCATCTTGAAGAGGGGCCTCCTCAATGAGCTGGGAGTAAGGAGGGAAGGCTTTCAGGCACACAGCACAGCCCGTGTAATGGGAAATGGAGGAAGAGACAAAAAAGAAGACCAGTTTGGCTAGACCAAAGAGCAGGTAACAGGGAGTGATGTTCAGTGAGGCCGATGTTTTTAAAAGTTGAATAGAGGTGTTTCTTTTTTATCCTTGAAACAAAAGGAAACTGGCAGAGTTGAGCAGGCAAGTCTCAGACTACAAAACACAGCTGGCTTCCCAGGCCTAATTCTAGAGTTGTCCAGCCTCAGCTTCTACTTCAAGTTAGTTACCATTTGTAAAAGAGCCAGCTCATCAGAACTAGAGTTAGCATTGAATGCTCATGATGATGATAGCCAGCAATTAGCATCTGTAAAGTCCTTAACAAATATTTTCTCATTTGGTCCTCACCTTGGAGAGGTCGGTTTAGTTATTATCTCAACTTACACATGAGGAAACTGTGGCAGACAAAGGTGAAGTGACTTGCTCAGGGTCACATAGCTAGTAAGGCAGGATTTGAACCCAGGTCTTTTGACTCCAGGCCCAGCATAATATCCACTGCACCACCTAGCTGCCTCACATAAAGTCACTACCTGGACATTGTGTTTGATGACAAGGTATCATTTGACTATAACTAGCCTGGGATCCTAATGAGAACTTTAAGTTTAACTGGCAAATGGCATCCTTCATCCCCATGCCTTTGCACTGGTTGTCCCACATGCTTGGCATGTATTCCCTCCTTTCACTTCACAGAGGCCCTCTGTTCCTTTAAGATCCAGCTCAACCATCGTCTTCTCCATAATGGGTGTTTAACCTGAGGTCTGTGGATAGATTTTAGAAGAGTCCGTGAACTTGTGTGGCAAAAAAAAGATACTGGAATGAGAGGGGAAAAAAGCAAGCCTCCAAATGTCCAACGTGAACAGCTCACCCTTCGTTACGTACGTTAGTTGTTTTCTGGGTCTGTAAAAAAGAGGAGATAAAAATCCATTAAGCTTTCATTTGAAGAAATCAAAGACAACCACCATGGGCAGTACTGGGGGAGCTATGGTGGCAATTCACTTGGGGTGGGGGTGAAGGATGTGGGAAATAATGCAGAGACAGGCTTTTGGCAAGGTTCCTACTAAATCAGAACAAAAAATTCACATACACAGGAATATCAAAGATCTGGGAGAGACACAGACCTCTCTGACAATCTGTGCTACGAGTGAAATTGCCAAAACTGTGTAGCACTGCCCTTTTTCATTCATTCATTCATGGAAGCCTACATATACATATATCTTTATGTATATATTTTATACCACATACTATGTCGAACTAAAAATATGCAAAACCCTTTCATAATTGTCCTCCTAAAAGAGAATAAAGAATAGCTATAGAAGTTGTACTTCAAAGGAACACAGGCCTATAGCCAAAATAAAAGGCTAACAGCAAGTAAGAATTTTAATTTAAACTAAAAATATAATACGTAACATAGATACTGCATTTTTTTGTTTGTTTGTTTTTTTGGAGGATTAGGTGACTTGCCCAGGGTCACACAGCTAGTGTCTGAGGCTGTATTTGAACTCAGGTCTTCCTGATTCCAGTGCTGGTGCTCTATCCACTGCGACAACTAGCTGCTCCAATGTTGAGTTTCTTAAAGCTTACCATTTGTAAGTGCTGCTGCCCTCTGTTCTCCAGGTTCCCCTCTCCTTGGATGACGGATTCACAAGGCCAATAAATACACTGGGGCATTAGAGCAGCTCAGCCAAGATTGCTAACACATACTGAACCCATGTGATGTCACCACGGAGGGTTTTAATGATCAGATTCTTTGTGCTTGCTAAAGTTTTCTATTATTTCTATTATCTATTCAGAGACCAAAGGACCCGCCTAAAATTGGGGAAGGAAGAACTCAGAACTTACCCCATTTAACCTCTTTAGGCTCACGGAGGGTTGAATGGGTAACTCTACAGGCATATTCACTTTTATCGTGCGGATCGAAAGGAGCAGAGACGAGGCGATGGAAAGTCCAGTCGTTGCTGAAGGACAGGTCAGATGTCTCCACATTTTCAATCTTTTGCCCATTTTTTAACAGGTCAATGGTGATCTGGGGTGGGTGGAATCCTGACACATAGCAGTTAATGTAGTTCTTTTTGACACTGTCCGTTGGGTGGCGGGAATAAACCTGAACTTTGGGAGAACCTGAGGAACACGAAAAAGAGGAAAATGAAAAATAGATTATTTGACCTGCTATGGTTGAGCCCCAAATAGAAGCTTTGGCCATTCTTCTATCACCCTCACCTCCAGTTTGGGGAGGCATACACTTTCATTGGATAGGGACAGGTATGTCCTGAAGTCAGCTCTAGCTATTGTGAGAGCTGATAGTTAAATTTTCAGTGTGAGTATTGCCACCTTGGAAATCAGCAAACTATATACATCAGGACTTGATTTATTGTTTTGCTGATTTCTAGACTTAAGAAAGTAATGGAGAAAGTATGGTAATGCAGATTAAAAGCATATTGTGGGGCAGTTAGGTGGCACAGTAGATAGTGCCTGCCCTGGAGTCAGACTCATCTACCTGAGTTCAAGTCTGGCCTCAGACACTTACTAGCTGTGTCACTCTGGACAAGTCACTTAACCCTGTTTGCCTCAGTTTCCTCATCTGTAAAGTGAGCAGCAGAAAATGGCAAACCACTCCAGTATCTTTGCCAAGGAAAACCCCAAATAGGGCCAGGAAGAGTCAGACACGACTGAAATAATCGAACAACAAAATCGCACTAAAAGCACTATGTAATCTAACCAAAAAAAAGGATTGTACCAGTGTATTTTTTTTTGAAAGCAGCAGCTGCATAAAAATAAAAGCTACAAAATTGTTCATGATCTTGACTCAGTGGTCCCACTACTAGGACCTAAAGATATTATTGCAAGAAGAAAATAACTAATTGTACAGAAAACAATCATAGAAGCATTATTTATAATAGAAAAAAAAGGTGACAGAATAGTACTCTGCCATAATCCTGGTTATATTTGAAAGATAATCCTAGAGCACAGTAGAACTCAAAATCAGTCATACCTAGAGCTTCCCAAATAATCTTCCTAAAGCACAGGTCTGACCAAATCAGTCTTTCCCCACTCCAATTGGCTTGATAGAAGGGAAAACTTCATAACAATTAGACCTGTTCAAAAGTAGAATAAGCTCCCTGGGCAGGATGTGAGTTTGCTATCACAGCAGGTGTTCAAGAAGAGACTGGAAACAGTTTATCTGGTAGGTCATAGAACAATGAGATTATAGTTTTCAAGCTAGAAGAAACCTTAGACAGCCCACTGAGTCCAACCTTCTCATTTTAAAGCTGAGGAAACTGATTTTTTTTTTTTTGGTCTGTGTTTTCTTTCACAGAATGACTAATGTGGAAATATGGGGTTTTTTTTGGATTGCACATGTATAACCTATGTCAAAAAATTGCTTACCATCTCAGGGAGAAGGAAGGGTAGGGAGGGAGAGAATTTGGAAGTCAAAATTAAAAAAAAATGAATGTTAAAAATTGTTTTTACATGTAATCGGGGGGAAAATAAATAAATAAAAATAAAAGACTATTTAAAAGAAAAAAGAAAAGACGAGGAAACAGAAGGTATGTGACTAATCTGGTCACACAGCTAATAATGGGCATTATTTGAATTCAGGTCTTCCTGACTCCAAGTGCAGAATTCTATCTATTGGTCAGGTTGTAGAGAGGAATCCTGTTCAGGCATAACCTATGCTATATTAACTCTGAGATCCCTTCCAACTCTGAGATTTTGACAACTTGAGTTGCACTAGCTCTGTAATTCTCAATGACCTATATGAAGAATTCAGTGAAATATTACATAATGATAAAGAAAGCAAAAGCAAGCAAAACATGAACACACTGGAAATGTAAAAAAAAAAAGCCACAAAATCTAAAAAATAGATGAAAAAACTTCAGAAGGAACACAAAAGCAAACTGGGCATTTTTTTCCGTTTAAAGTCAGTACCCACATTTTGAAATAAAACATAAGTAACAGCTACAGTTTCATATATAATTTTGTGTGTGTTTATGCATTTGAATGTTTTTGTTGAGAGGTGCTAAGTTCAAATTTTAAAAAGAAAAGAAAGAGAGAGAAAGAAAGAAAGAGAAGAAAGAAAGACTATCTGACCTAGGTCAGGCTAAAGCTAAAGAAAGTATAATGCTAAAACAATATAAAGTTTGGGTCCTAAAGTACAAAGTTTTTTTTCTAAATGCTGAGGATACAGGTTGAAGAGAGAAGGGAATTGGCTGGTTTTTTCTAAGAGTGACCTTCAAACCAAAATAAGTAAATAATTACATTCCAACCAAAATAAAACATTAAAAAATCATTATTTTTACTGTTTAAGAATGGCGTGAGTTCTTTTTTATTTTTAATTGAACCGAAAATAATTTTCACAGCGTGCCTTTTATATGTATTTCACATTTATCTTGATGTAGTACTTTCAGTGCTTGGCTACATATATTTTTTTCTTTCAAAGAAATCTTATTCTCAGGAAGCCAGCTATATTTAGACTAGTCTAGATAAAGTTTTAAATGTTTACTTAAAAAGTTTTCTTTGTTTAAGTGAAAGAGGAAAAAAAATAGCTTACCAAGGGACAAATTTATTTCCCAACTTTAAAAAGTTCTACGCTATTTCTATTTTTCTGTAACTCCTTTTCTTCCTTTTTGAGGAGAGTAATGAGTAGGACAGATCTGGACCTGTGATTAAATACATCCAGGGAACTTCCCAGTATGGAAAACTCCTCCACAGATCCAGCAACTATCCAATAACTCTGGGCCTCTCACTGACTTCTATTAAGATACTGATATCTGTTGGGAGCCCTTTCCATTGGCTCATTTCCTCCCACTAACAAAAAAAGGAGGAGGCTTCAGGAGCTGTTCCATAAGAGACAGGAGTTTAGTTTTTAATTTCCCCCAAACTGAATGGGATTTAGAAAGCTTGAAAAACAACGAAGTCATAGTAAACACCCACCAAATGGGGGATGGCTAAACAAATTGTGGTAATTGAATGTAACAGAATATTACTGTGCTCAAAGAAATGACGGATATGATAAATATAGACAGAGAAGCTTGGAAAGACATGAACTGATGCAAAGTGAAGTAGAGCCAAGAAAACAATAAACACAACTACAGCAATCTAAATGAAAAGAACAAAGACAAAACAATTGAAAATTAAACACCAGAGTTCAGCAGAAGGCAGTAAAGCCCAGCCGAGCCCCATTTCTAAGTTCACAAGTAAAATATTAGCCGTCAGCTTAATTCCTCCTGAGCTATAAATATCCATCATTGTTTATTCCACAACATATCCGTACAGACACTTTCTATTTATCAATTCCAAGCCCATGGTTGCAAAACTTCCCTCAGGTTTCTATATGCTTTACCATGAAGCCAGCTCATTGTGGTGGATGAGCTGCAGAAATGAGCATGAGCTTTTCAAAAGTAGTCAACCAACATACTTTCTCCTTCTAGGTCTATGGGTGAACTTGACCAGTGGTGAACCTCCACTGAAAGAAGCTTAGGAAATAAAAGACAGCTAAACTTAACTGAGGATTAGAAGATGCTACTATCTGATTTCTGGAGGGCAGGAGGTAGACCAACACTAGCCACAAGTGAAATCTTGCTCTTAGCCAAAAGGCAGAGAGAGATATAAGCTCCTTCTTTTCATGCTAAACTTCCACACCTATAAATCTAAATTTTTTTCCTCTACTTCTTCACCATCTTAACCCATTTCCAAGATCCAGCTCAGATGCCATGTCCTCCAGGAAGTTTTTATCTTTATTTTATTTTTATTTTTTAAAATCTCAGAGGCAATTTGGAGCCTTTGGAGTTTACTGAGCAAGAAGGAAGGGGAGGGGTGTCAAATGATCAGACTTTAGGAAAATCCCTTTAGGGGTGTGGTGAGGATGGATTTCAATGGGGAGGGGCTGAAGGCAGGGAAACAAATTAGGAGGCTATTGAAGCCTTCAAATGAGAGGTGAGAAGTGCCTAAATTAGGGTAGTGGCTATGTGGGTGGAGAGGAGGGGACATATTCCAGAGATTTTGCGGAGATAGAAGTGATAAAAATTTGACAACTGATTTAATATGTAGGCTGGGTGAGAATGAGGAGTTGAGGATGACAAGCAAGACTGCAAGCATAGGTGACTGGAAGCATAGTGGTAATAGAGTCATTTGGAAGAGGACTGCATTATGACAGATGATAAATGCATAGTGTTTGACATGCTGAGTTTGAGATGTCTAAGGGACATCCAGATGGAAATACCCAGCAGGCAGTTGATGACGGACTGGAGCTCCCGATAGAGACTAGGGTTGGATGATCTAGGAATCATGTGTAGTAAAATGCTAATCAAAACCCATAGGAGCTGATGGTCACACCAAATGAGAAAGTGTAAACAGAAAAAAGGACCAAGACTGGCGGTACACCCACAGTTAGTGATTCTGACTTGAGCAATGAATCAACAAAGAAGACTAAGAAGGAATGCCCCGACAAATAGGAAGAGAACCAGGAGAACAGTAAGAGAAATCCAGAAAGGAGAAAGTATCCAGGAGGTCAGCAGTGTCAAATGCTGCAGAGAGGCCAGTGAGAATGAGGATTAAGAAGAGGCAGTAAGATTTGGTAATTAGGAGATTAGTAATTTTGGAGAGAGCAGGTTGGCAACCAGATTTTAGGAAGTTAAAAAAGGGAGAGAGAGATTGAGATTGAGATGAAGATTGAGATGGAGATGGAGAGGAGAGGAGAGGAAGTGGAGTTTTCTAAGTGAAGCTTTTCCTATGAATTTGGTTGAGAAATAGAGGAGAGGGATAGGACAATGGTGAGGATGGGAGGATCTGGGTAGGATTTTTTTTGTTGTTTTGATTTGTTTTAAAGAGTGGGAAAACACTTGAGTGTGTTGGTAGGCAACAGGTAAGGAATTAGGAGATAAAGATTGAACATAGGCTGATAATGGGAACAATATGCAGAAGAAGTGGGGAGGCGATCAAAGGTCGAGGCTTGGGTGAAGGCGTTATACATACATATACATACACGGGATTTACACACACACGCACGCGCGCGCGCACACACACACACACACACACACACACACACACACACACACACACACACGGGATAGTTTAGATCTGAAGGTTAGGAGCTGCCCTGGACTTCAGGAGGATGCAGAGACAGCGAGATCGAGATCCTATCGTCAAGCAAAAGGCAAGTTGTGGCGACTTCCGCTTACAAAGTGGTGCTTCCACCAAACCTCAGGGCCACCCATCTCACCCTTGTTTTCACTCCCCAACTCCCCCACCCCCTTGGCTGTAATATTGCCACTGTCTTCCACAACTGCACTTTTTTGCCTGCCAGTGCTCAGAGACTCAAAGTAGGAGGGAGACACCGACTTGCCTTCCTCGGGGATTAGAGACAACCGAAGTCTCGCCTAGTCACAAAGCCGGAGAAGTTAAAGGAAAGCATCCAGTGAACCAACCGTTCCTGGGATGACTTGGATCCTGAAACCCCACACCTTCCCACTGCACCCCTCCAGGCTTTCTCTAACCCCTCACCCTCCCAAACCTTTCCCCACACCCTCGCCCACATCCGAAGTGACTCCCGGCTAGTTCTAAGCATGTACTGCCAGGAAGAGAAGGAAACCAACAGCTCTGGCTCCCGGAACAGCACATCCTAAAGGGTCCAGCTCTCCTGGACCCCAATCTACAAGACCTCTTCTATCCCGGGAGGAGGAATGGGGCGGAGTGGGATGGGGAGGTAGGCTAAATCCAGGCGAGTTCCAGGCTCAGGGACCCATTCTGGGGCTAGGTTCAGGGGCAGGAAAAAAAAGAACGAGATTGGCACTTACTTGTAATAGCGTCCAAGTAGGGAAGGAAGCAAAATTGCCCCAGGAGGGCAAGAAGGAAGATGCGAGCCATCGTCGAAAGACAGTCGCTGCGCTCTCTTTCAACTCCTCTAGCCAAATGAGCAAGAGCTCCCCTCAGGCTTTTTATATAGTGCCTGGCTTTGCCAATAAACACAGAGAATGACAGCAGCGCGTCACTGGTCTCCAGGCAAAAGGCTCTGCTCTAGGTTAGAAAACGGGTTTCGCAATACTTTCATTTTCGTTTGCTTGGAAACTACCACGCCTCGTGTGACAATTCTGGGAAGCTGGATGGATTTTTTTTTTAATTATTGCATTGTCAAAAATATTGTCCCTTCACCATAGACACAATTCCCCCTCCAAATCGCAGCCAAAGGTCTCTGAAGTTTGTCAATTTGATTACTAGGACAGAATTTGGGGTATGATTTCTCTGTAGGTTTTAACAGGGGTTCTTAACCTTTTTGGTGTCCTGGGCTCCATTGGCAGTCTGGGGAAGCCTATAGACCCCTTCTCTTCTCTTCTCTCTCTTAAAACTGCATAAAATACATAGTATTGTAAAGGAAGCTAATTACATTGAAATACAATTGTCAAAATATGGGTTTTTTTTTTCAACCTAGTTCAGGGACCCCAGGTCAAGAACCCCAGCTCTACAAATTATTCCCACTGCAAAAAAAAAAAAAAAGAAAAGAAAAAAGAAATTTAAAGGCCTCCCTGCCTCAATTTTAGCTGAAGATGACCATCCAGATTTAGCTTAAGATGGACTTCAGGTGGAATAATGGGCCTGTGATGTGACAGGAACTGTATTTGAAGATGGAAGACTTGGATTTGAATCCCCTGTGCCACTTACCACTTACCACTACTACTACTACTACTGCTAACACTACCATCACCCCCACCACCTTTACCACTACCTCTTTTCATAGCTAGCATATATATAGTGCTCTAATATTTGCAAAGTGCCTTACATATTACATTATTTGACCCTCACATCAACTGGGTGAGGTAGGTGCTATTATTATCTCCATTTTTCAGATGACCAAACTGAGACCAAGAAAAGTTAAGGAACTTGACTAGGTTTCTACAGCTACTAAGTGTAAGTGAGGATTTGAACTCAGGTCTTTTTACTACATACATGACCTTGGACAAGTTCCTTCATCTCTCTAGGTTTCTGTTTTCTCATCTGTAAACTAAGGGTATTGGGCCAGTCTCCTAAACTTCCTTTCATCTCTAACAAACATCCCATGATTCTCTACAATAAAGATTTCTTTTTCTTCAAAATCCTCAAGGAAGAGGACAGCCCAGGTTAAATAGCCATTTGGACAAACGCTGAAATTAAATGAGGAGTTCCGGGGAAACAAATAGTCAACCTAAAAAGAGAATACTATTGTAGCAAAGGCAGAGAAATTTGTTAGTGGCCTTAATGATAATTTCATTCTTCAAAAAGTGAAGGAAACAACAAGAACTGTTATTCTTGGCCTAACTCCAACCAACAAGAAGTTGACTGCTGAAATAGAAATTTCAGAGTTCAGAAGAAAGATGGGCAGGATCCAGCGACTTAGTACTTTGTGGGGGAAGTAGGCCCAAGAGGAATGGTAAACTTTCAAGAATTAAATTCTGAACACATAAGTAGAAATTGTTCTGATAAGAGGAAAAATGGGGAACTGCCTAAAGAAGTCATTAACATCTTCAGATTATAGATATTTAAATATGACATAATAATCAAGGGAAAGTAACTGAGATGGTCTTTTAAAAAATTATTATTTTATTTTTCCCCCAATTACATATAAAAACAATTTTAACATTCTTTTTTTTTCAAATTTTGCGTTCCAAATTCTCACCCTCCCTCCCTCCTCTCCCCCCCAATTGAGAAGGTAAGCAATCTAACCTAGGTTATACATGTGTGTAGCCATGCAAAACACATTTCTATTTAAGTCAAGTAGCATAGTCTTCTAAGAATTGTATGCATAATGCTAAATTAAGAATAGGTTGGTGATGAATGCCACAAGCAACAAAAATAACTTTTAAAAAAAAGCCATATTGGGGACAAGAAAAGAATCAAAGAAGGAATAGGACTGAAGCTCAGCATGGATGAGGATGATGATAACAGTGAAAGGGCTGAACTATTAGGTGCTTTTGTTTGTTTGTTTTATTTTCTATGGAGAATGGCCTTTGACCTGAAAAACACATAACAAAAATGGTTAGCAAGGCGGTAGACACCTAAGACAAGTAAGGTAGCTGATGACACAATCTAAGTCACCAGACTCCTAAGAACTACCTGTTAGGGGACTGAAACAACTGGCAGTTGTTATTATTGAGCTCCTACCCATGATCTTGGAAAGATCTTAAAGAATTGGAGAAGTTCTTCAGGACTGTACAAAGGCAAATGTCTCAATTTTCAAAAGAGAAAGTAGAGCCTGCAAATTAGCAAGCTTTACTTCTATTCCACACAAAAGTCGAAAATACATTAATAAAAGAGGATAGTTTGTGAGGCCCTAGGGAGGGCGAGATGACTAAATGTCAACAAGATTTCCTCATGGAAGGTCTTCAAGCAGAAGCTAGCCATCCACTGGTTGGGAATGTTATAGAAGGGATTCTTAATCAGCTGCAGGTTGGACTAGATGGCGTCTGAGCTCTTGTATAACACTGAAATTCTGATTTTCTGATTATCACTGTTGTGAAGGCCACAGTTAAACCACACAGGGAAGAAAAATAAAATCATTTTGTTGTTGAATCATGTCCAACTCTTCATGACCTCATTTGGGGTTTTCTCAGCAAAGATACCGGAATGGTTTGCCATTTCCTTTTCTAGCTCATTTTCCAAAAGAGGAACCAAGGCAAAGAGGGTTAAGTGACTTGCCCAGGATCACATAGCTAGTGTCTAAGAATGAATTTGAAGTCAGGAAGATGAGTCTTCCTGATTCCAAGCCCAGTATTCTATCTATTGTACCACCTAGCTGCCCAAACAAAACCATTATGAGATAATATTATTTTCTACCAGCCCGATTCAGAATTTGTGAATATCAGGATAGTTGTTGATTGTTGTTGCAATGCCTAAGGTTATAAATTAAGACATCCCTAAATACGGTTTTAACTCTTTCAAAACCTCAAGAATTCTAAACTCATAGACTAAATTGTTTCCTAATTTTCCTGGAAATACTAGAAGATACAACATTATTTTTGGCAAGTAAGGCCCTGGCTATTATATCATGGAAAAATATATATATATGTTTAAATGTAGTAGAAATAGTCCTGTACAATGGTTTATGAAACCTGGGTTTCAGTCCATAGAGTAGTTGGAGACAGAATAAGAGTCCCTGCTTTTATAATTAACTAGCTATGTGACTGGATATGTCATGTCACCTCTACTGTCCTTATCTATAAGGAAAGACTTTGACTATCTGACCTCTAAGATCCCTTCTAGTTCTTTTTATGGTTTTATAGTTCAAACTTCGCTCTCTTAGAAATTTATGCATCATAGAAGACACATAAGAAGCAATTATACACAAACATAATGAAATGTTTAGACCAACTCCAGAAAAAAGGTTTTATAATTTGTTTTAGTTTTTAACTCATACTTTGATTTCCAGTCATGTAGTGGGTAAGTGGCTATGGTAAAGAGATTACATGAAAACAGTTTAAGAAATTACATATGGCTATTATTTTATCAGGTTAAAAATAGAAAAGGGGCAAAAAGATTAGGAAGAAAGGGAAAAGAAACCAAAGTGATAAAAAAGAGCATGAGAAAGACTAATGCACAATTGAGGTTCAGTGTAGTTCCGTAGAGCCCAACCAATTGTTTTCCAGAGAAAGCCAGTCCAACTCACAGAGAAATCAGGAAGTTTGGGAGAAAAGTGCAATGACTTCAGAGGGCTTTTGTGGGAACCTAAGGTATACGTACTTGGACATTTTTTGGTAATAGCCATGTAACAGTGGCAAGTTTTGAGGGAGGTAACTTGGACTGGTAAATTCTGATGGCTAGAAAGGTCAAGTGCCATGGGGATGGAAAGCATAGGGTTATATAACTAGGTGCCTAATCTGATAGATGTGACAAAATGGACCCAGATCACTCATTTAATAGAAAGTTCCTTGGCAATCTACCACTTGGTAACTTTTTAGGGTTCCCTTCCAAATACCCTGAGACTATGGTAGCTCCCTCTTTAGAAAGAGATAACAAACCCTTCTAACTGCCTGCTATGCACTGTGCTATACTCTGGAAATATAAAAACAAAAAGATTACTTTTTTTGGGGGGGTGGGGGAGAGGAAGAATGACACAAAGGAATTGTGGTGGGATGGGCAGTAATTAGTATCAGAATAGACCTCAAGTCACAAGTTGTTGCTTCCCACTTTGGAGCTTCTAGCTTCCTAGTGCCTGGACTAGTTATGGAACCTGGTTATGGAACATTTAGTAGAGCAGAGATCTTGAGTCTTCTTCCACCCTACCTTCCACTCCATTCCTTCACATTTCCTTCCAATGCTCCCCAACTTTTCGTCAGTCTTATGAGTAACATCAGCATGTCATCACAATGTCATAAGGAGACAATCTATGATGACTTCCAAGCCCTCTTCATCCATTTGTTTGTGGATGAAATCACATTTGTAGTCAATAGAACCCAAGCAGGAACAGTCTTGTCAATTCCTCTTAGTAAAATCAAGTTCCAATTTGACCCTCACCATTTCTCTTACAAAATCTTGAGTACGAGCCCATTATAATATAGCATATGTCCATACCACAAAGGAGTAACAGGTCACCCTTCCATAACTTAGATAGCTTAAACTGTGACACACTAGCTCCTGGGCAACCCAGAATAAAGGAAAATGTCAGTGGTCCTTGAGGCAGGAGAGACCTAGGTTTGAATCCTGCTTCTGAAATACAAGTTATATAATCATGAGCCATTCATTTAGCTTTCTTGAGTTTTCATTTTCTCACCTATAAAATGGGAGTAATAATACCTGAAGTACTTACCTGACAAGGGTGACAAAATAGATAGATTGCCAGGTCTGAAGTCAAGAAGACTCATTTTCCTGAGTTCAAATGTGACCCTGGGTAAGTCACTTAACCCTGTTTACCTCCATTCCTCATCTGTAAAATGATCTAGAGAAGGAAATGGCAAACCA